CATAACGCCACTTACAATAACTTGATATTAAATATTTACTTTCTTACATTTGAGCATGTTTAATTGATGATGGAAATACGACTGATCGCATACACCCCTATTAGGCTAATTTACCGTACTAACGAGGTTCATAGGAATAAAAAAAAAACTGATATCACCCTCTGAAAGTATTGTACGAGATGACTTATGTGGGAACCTCAAGTAGAATTTGGTATTTGCTTTTGTGCCCTCTATTTTGGTATACAAACGCGACCAAAATAAATCTACTACACCCATTAAATATTTGGGATGTTTACATATTTCTCTCTACTTCTACTTCTAACTACCTTTTATTTCATGCTAAATAATCGCCGAAGTGAGGAGACAATGGGATTTGTTCCCTGGCCGGGAAGTCCTTAAAATTGGTAATTGTTATTCTCTGCTTGCGTTCAACATTTAGAATAATGACAACAAATTGTTCACCCGTTGTCAGTATAATGTGTTCTGGCGGAATGTTGTGCTGGGTGTCTTCGGCATGGTATTTAAGTGAGATACATTGTAGCAAAGTCGACATTAAATCGGCGCTATCACAAGGAAGAAATCACATCAATATACCCTTCCTTCAGCACACATGCACGCATACACAGCACACATGAAAGCACGTCCTTAAATGATCTTAGCTGTTAATAGGACGTTAAACAAAGTAAAACAAAACAAAACATTATAGTGATGATTGGATCTTTTTTTGCAATTAATCGCTTATATAGATTGTTATTTATAATTAAAAAGCATTGATATTATTGGTGAACTGTTTCATTGTCATTCGAAAATATTGTACACGCTGACAGTTTCAAAATGAGTGAAATGCCTATTTATTAAAAGCTTAGAGAAATGACGACTTACCTTTTGGAAGCAGATGCCGTCCTCTGGAATCTTACTAGAGTACACACATGGAGATTCTTTTTTATAATTCTTCACACTTATGGTACACCTAGACACACAGGAAAACTGTCAATGTTTTCACGTGATCGTTCGTTTGATAGGCAAAGCAACAGAGACGTTAAAGGGTTTACAACATTGTATGCACACTACTTCTGATGCAATATTTTATTGCTCTCACGGCCATATGGGACCTCAGAAAAGAAAGATCATAATAAATAATGTTATCTAAATGGGGAAGTTTAAAGGACAATTTTATTCAAATAACTAAATTGTAGTTACGGATTTAAAATTGGATAGTTACTAACTTCGTTCTGTTTGAAAATTCAAAAAATGAGTTTTATTAGCCTAATATCAGAATTAGAATGGCTTGCTCAGAATAAATAATCATTTACAGCACCAAAACAAAAATGATTTAAGAAAAAAGCAAGTAGATTATTAATAGTTTTTTTCCATATAAGAATTGAAACATCATAAAGGCATTATTTGTTTCAGTGCCTTCGTTAGGGTTCGAACCCGAGACTTCTGGTGCAATAGTCTGACGCTTCCGAATAACCTAAAGAGAAATTCTCCCTAACCGAATTGGTAACGAGAAGATGGTATTTTACCAGGATGACAAAAAATTATTTTGTTCTTAACCATATCGCATGACACCCACTTTAACTGAATTATGAATATGGATGGAATATTACAAGAAATACAAAACGTATTTATTTGTACGTTCTAAAACTTTTGTTATCACGGATATAAAAATATCATACTATTTGCAGTATTAATGTGCTTGTCTCATCGGTCGTACGGTATTCCTGGAACATACTTAAGTTAAGGGTGGTCGGGTGGCGCAGTGGATAACGCACTTGCCTTTCACCAAGACGGCCGTGCTTCGATTCCCTGTTGGGACGTGAAAAGGTATGGGATCAACTGCCCGACCACGTGGGTTTTCTCCGGTTATTCTGGTTTCCTCCCACATATAGATTCTCCGTGCGCTAACATCCGGGCCAACAAAAGTGATTTATATAAGTTGAAATAACTTGTTTCATAATTGTTGTAAAATAAATGAAGTTCATATTTTTTCACTTAAGTTACCTGAATATTTCCTTCTTTAAGTAATCTCACGTTATTTGAGGCGGGAGGAAAAAGACATCTATCCATTGCTTTCACAACCCCATAAATGTAATTTCTTCATGTCGTCTTCAAATAATAACTTGCAATGGAAATGCTGATTATAATAGTCGAATGGAAGCGTTTATTCCATGACGCGCATGAATAGATTTATGTTCATTCTATAGAGGTGGTGAACCCAGAACAAAAAATCAGAAATCCATTTGAAGCACAAGGCACAAGGGTAATATATCAGTTTATATGTCTTATAATAAGTACAAAACTCATGAAAATTTAACAGTCAAAACAACGGAACAATTTCAAACGCTGACGTCATTTGGCGGAAATAATTCCATTCATCAGTTAATTTCCGTTGGTTTGACGTCATAGCGTCGTGACGTTATATCGCGTGTAGGCTATCTTTCCCTCGTGAAGACAGGTTTATCTTTTCAAGGGCCAATTTCTGTCTTTCATGGGCAAGAAATAATACTAGAACGGATAATTTATCTGAAAAGCATACATTTGGATAAAAAAGAATTTCACAGAAATCAAATAATGTGTTTTTAACACTAGTGAAAAATATCACTTTTGCCGATTTGACCAATCAAACACTGATTACAAACCAAAATGAGAAAAATTCCAAGTGGCTCATCTGATCACAGCCTGGTTAGCTTAACGATACGCAGGCCGCGAGAAAAACCCGCTGATTTATCAGCCCATTATACTGTCCAGACTAATCAGATCTGTTACCTATCGTGAGGTAACTATTCTCTGGTGGAAACTCAATGTTTAATTCCACAGTTAACGTTCGTTTCAAGGGTATCAGCAGATTATGCAGGTCAGCATTTCTAACTGTTTGATAGAAGGAAAGTCATGTCAAATGAAACACAGTGTCAGCGTATCCAACTCTAACGTTAGGCAAAGCGATTGGCAGAAAGTATAAGAGAACCAGGGTCATCTCTGTCAATGATAGTGATTAAGAATAACTTACATATGTGTTATCGATATTGCATCCTCATGATAAGTGGTGACACAACAGCTCTGCATTGTTCCCGAAATCCCTTACCATTTTAGATTCGGCGTTATGTTACATTATTATGACAAACTAACTAGTCGTCTGTAGAGGGTCCAGAACACTGCAGCACGGCTAGTTACTCGTACTTTACTCGAAATAGAGAGCACATCACACCTGCGCTTTATTCGTTGCACTGGTTACATGTACGAAATTCTGGTGTACACATACAAGGCACTGAATGGAGCAGCTCCTCAGTACCTACAAGAGCTCGTTACCCTGTATCAACCGTCACGATCACTGCGGTCGGAGTCAGAATCTTTGTCGTGTGTCCCAAAATCTCGAACTGTGACCTACGGAAACAAATGCTTTGGGAGGGTTTCGGCTACGTTGTGGAGTAGCTTACCATCTGCTATTAGAAAGTCAAATACCATGGCCAAGTTCAAGAGGGACATCAAAACTCACCTCTTCACGTCTTCATTTAAGAATCTTTGTATAGACGTCATGTAAATACCACCCTTTTATTTGTTCAATTATGTGCACATTGCTTACTTAAATGTATAAAAGTGATTGTAAGCCTTTGTTTTTTGTTTTCACAATTATAACCATTACTATTATCCATATGTTGTAAAGCGCTCTAGAGTAATTTTACAAATTATATAGGGCGCTATATAAATGTTGTATATTATTAGTAGTAGTATGATAGTAATTTGGCATACCTTTTGAAAAACATTAACTAAAGTAGCTATTTTATAAAATGTTTGAAGTAAAAGTATAACTTTATTAAAAGTAAAGTAAAAATAAATGACAAGTTCGGTTGCTTCATGTTGAATATGAAATTTTATTTCAGATAACGTAAAACAATATTATAAAATCACATACAAAACATATTATTATTATTCAAATGGGATTAAACTAGATAACACACTTCTCAGTGTTGGATTATTTAACTCAGTATGTGAGAAAAGAAGAAATGAGGCAAATAAAAGATGTTAGTTGTTACATTGTACGACCTATATTTTGTCCTCTAGTATTAAGAATAGAATGAGATTACCCATTACTATATGATACATGTTAACATATTATGTAAGTAAAACATATGTGCATACATGTGTTGATTATTATTCTGTCCATCACATCGTCTGTATAAAATAATCTCCTATTTTATCAGCAATCCCTTTTAGGTTCGCACAGCATTGTTCTTTTTCCAATATACAGTTATCTCCCCTTAACTTTTGTTTTGATATAACTGTAACCCAATTGTACCAGGGAGCTCAGTCTGTTAGAACGAACGTATGTCAATCTGAAGTCCTGGGTTCGAATCCTGGTCTAGCCCCTCTGACTTGTTCACACTCAGAACACTGTTGGGGATTATATTTTGTTTAATTCATCTTTTTATTATTTCTCAGAAAAGACCCCCAAGGAATGGTTTTCTTTTCAGGAATGATTTATCAAAGCTATAGTATTGCTGGAAATACAGTTTCTTACACTTAGTTACAGTTTTTGGTAGTTGTACGGGGGTCCTTAAGCAGTTGTTTTGTAAACCCTTTTCTTACTTGATATGGTTAATCAATTTCTAGCATATGTATTTAATTTTGTTTTACAGTCAAATGCAGTATTATATTAGTTTTTACTATGGGGGTGGTCGGGGGATGCAGTGGATAGCGCACTTGCCTTTCACCAAGGCGGCCGAGGTTCGATTCCCCGATCGGACGTGAAAAGGTTGGGGTCACCTGCTCGAACACGTGGGTTTTCTCCGGGTACTCCGGTTTCCTCCCACACTAAGACCCCCATGCGCTAACACCCGGGCCAACAAAAGTTATCAATATAAGTTGAAATAACTTGTTTCATAATTGTTGTTAAATAAATCAAATTTATATATTTTTACTATGATATTTAAGTATGATAAAGTTAAATCTTTAAATAGTTATACAAGGTCAATGAACATGAAACAGGAAATTAACTCGCGTGTAAAAATTAAACTCGTTTGGTAGTTTGCTAATATCATCAGTTAAACCAATTCCGCTATTGATGATGAAACCGTGCTCATGGACACTCTGTTTATTGTATTACGTTATTGTTTTGCTGTGAATGCATTTTAACGGTTGAACCGAACCACAGCTGTATACAGTGTGTTAACAATTTTGTTAAACGACATGTTAAGATTGAATTATAGAAGTCTTATATGTTTTATCACATAAACAATCATACAAATGAACTCAGAAATTAGTCATTTGTCCTGTATTGGCATTAAAATTAAAACCGCTTTAAAAACCTAAATTTTATTGTGTTATAAAAGTTTTACAACTGAAGTTCACTTTTGTGTTCTATCAATGGTTTCTTTTACTATAACCTTTAAAAGAGTTCTCTCCTTTTACTTTCCACTAAAATGATATCACGTAACACATTTTCCTACGTTACAAAGAAAACGCATTGTCATTTCGGTGTTGGCTTAGCGAGGATGTACAATATTAACTCATCAAATACCAGTTCATCGTATAAATATCACAGTTATGTCCCTTGTTTGTGTATGATTAACAAGTTAATGGCTGGGCATTTTGCATTTTGTAGCATTTAACAGCAACGATATCAAGATTTACGTTCTTTGCATTTCACATTGAAGTCTCATAGTTGTTCATTTTTGAAAATGACGGGAAGCGCTTCGGCGAGGGAAATGGTTTTATCCCCTGAAAAGTAAAAAAAAAAATCTGTAATTTTGTTCTTTAAACACAGAATTATTATTTATCTCGAAATGATAAATAAATCCTTTGTACATAAAGACGATTGATTCTTTCTATGTAACGATATTCATGCATTGATGCAATGCAATTGTGTACCTCTATAGTGTTCAAATGCAGTTTTGATATATGTCACTGAACTAAATATAAAGAGAGTTGACTTGTCTCTTACCTCCAATAATTTTATGTTCGGTCGAGGAAGCTTAAACTCTGTGTCAGTAGTGAGTTTGTCGCTGTAGTCTGAAAGAAAAAGAAAAAGAAAATAAATGCGGACTAACTTGGATTATTCAGTTGTACACAAATCTCAAAATATATCTCAAAGAGTTAATTAATGCCAATAATGCCTTCTTTTCAGATCCTTAAGTTACTATGTGTATACATTATGAATTTAGCATTTCACATCTTTTAGACAGTAGATTAATTGACATGTATTTTACTTCGATTCTTACCTTGGCTGTTGTTCCATGATTTCATCACAACCTAACCATAAGAAAGATAAATTAGAATTTACCTTATAATACTTTAAGACATTTTGGTAGTATGAAATATATGAAATATCGGATTGCATCAAATCATTTCAAGATATTAATTGTATTTGCATATATTCACATAGCTAAGCATGTATCTACATATAGCAAACACAAAATGCATTAGTTTTAATCAATATATACCCTGCTGAATATACTCAGTTCTCAATGTACCTGTAATAGTCAGTATTTCAATGTAGTTGATAATAATAATAATAGTATATAACATTTGATATAGCGCCCTATCTAGATAAAATAAGTAACTCTAAAGCGCTTTACAGTACACAAATATGCAATCATTACAATTAGCATATACATAAATCGATACCTTTTTTGAGGAATTGGCAGGAGCTGCCTTATCAGGCGCTAAATACTAGTCATATGCCACCTGGCTAATATATTCTTATGTATGTATGCCTGCGTGTGTGCTGGACATGTAATAATATCTTTCAAACCACAATGATTCATCTTTCAATTCAGTATATACCTCAGAGTTTTCTTCTCCTGTCCTGAAAGATTGCGTTCGTGACGAATCAAAATATTTCCCATTTCGTGCCAGAGCTTGTCGAAACTATTAAATACATAATTGCACTTATAAGTCCCACGTAAAGTATCTGGTACTCCGGTCTTTTAAATAAATATACATATATTGGCGCCTGGGTTGCAGTTATTGCAAATCCCCATTTTCCGAGTCAAACTAAAAATAATGTTTATATATAATTTGTATGATTTTTACATGATTATATTATCATGATTTTTCGTCTAAAGACGGAGGTTCAAAATATTACATGTTTTCAATGAAGCTTTAAAAGCTAATTTAATTTTACTTTAAAGCGTTATCTCATTGAAATGTCACATCGTAACATATTATATGACAATTAATTTTTCATTATTCTAACAAAATATGTCATTGTTATTTTTCTTATGATTCTATTTAAAAACATGAAAATTCGTATTAAACTTTTATATTACAAAGCAACACCTGTAAAAAAATCTGGGAGAATCCTGTTTATTTTTTTCTTTTGAAAGTGAAAAAAGGGGATTTTTCTTTTGTTAAGCATTGATGGGAGCATTAGGAAAACAATTATGTATGATAAAAAATAACATAAAAACTGAATGACTTTGCATTATATCAAGTGGGAAAATTCATTTGCACAATCAATTATTGAAATCACGTCAATGTCTCTTGCTGTATATCTCTTATACGAAACCATATGCAAGGAAATGTATAACGATTTGTTGTCTTGGTACTGCGAAAAATATTGTACTTGGAACTCACTTACCGGTACGTTGAAAACACAGTAAAACAGGAATATGAAGAAACCCTGAAAAGGATACAAAAACTGTCTGAAAAAGGGTTATAACTCTTGTAACTTCCGCTCACACAATCAGGGAATGTGTTTTATTGTAATTATACCGTGAATATCTCAGACAAACTTGTTTTTGATTTTGACACATAGAACCAGCATTTGAGGTATGTTCAACAAAACGAAATTGTATATATTTTATTCGAATTGTTATGCATGAAATTTCAAAGACAATCACTTTGATCTTTATTTAAACAAATACATCGTCATTATTCAAATATTTTGTTCATGGGCGTCTTAATGACTTTCCTCTTAATGTTTTTGGATTATTTCATAATAAATCGACCAACTGTTAAAAGTGAAACTTTTACTTTTTCTTTCGTAATAAATTATACACTTTTTATTTCGTTAAAAGAATGATCGGCAAAACGTTAGCTTAACAGACGAAACAGTGTAAAGCACACAAATATAGTATTATCATATATATCTCGTGTTTAAATTATGGCTTCACGGAACCAGTTCCATATCTACATGTATAAATCTTTTATTAATCAATCTTACCTGTAATGAATTAGTCAAGGCAAACAGGTACTGGAAAACGACAAGGTCATCCGAAATTGATACTATCCCGAATAACCACGTAATACCAAGAACTGGAAGAAGAACTGACACACTGCGAACGCCGGCTCTGAAAGATACAGTTCATATGACAACAATTACGGAACCTTCAATTTACTTCAGATTCACTTTTTTATACATTATATATATATTTATAGAAACAATAAGATGTAACGACTAAATTCAAACCTAGCAGCAACCATCCTTCACTACAGCCCTGTGAAGGCTGAAAGCTGCTAGGTTTGAAGTCGTTCGTTGTATCACATTTTTCTATACTTAGCTATTTCACATGGACATTCTTTTTAATTATATTTTTTATACAAACAAATATATGTTGATATCAAAAACCCATTAAAATTCTAAAATGTATAATATATACATATTTGCAATCAAGTTTAATTGATGGTTGGTTTGTTAGACGAATATGTATCATATATACTTTTTTCATATCCCCTGATTATCTTAAAATATAATTGTGTTTAAGCTGTTCATAATTGTACGACGTCAATTTGTTGTTGACCCTAACACATACAAGTAAAATAATTAACCGACGCTTTATTAACTACAAGTTAACTTCTCTTAGGTAATTGTGGCATTTGATTTTTCGAAAAGAAACTCCCAGTGGCAGAAATTTCTCAGCATCTCAATTTACGTTTCGATTTATTCTTCCAGACACATTGTTTACAAACGTAATTTCTGCTTTTTTCTCGAAGGTTTTTAAAATTCAAATATGGATAAACATTTTAGTAATTATTATTTGTAGTTTAATCTCGAGACTACTCGAATGTTGGTGTCTGGAGTATATGAATAATAATTTGTAAGTTCAATGGTTTTTTGAAGTCTATCAAAGTAAAGTAATATAGTCATCTTTGCAAATTTGCAAAAAGTAACTTATTGAGCACATAACGGGAAAAGCCATTGTGTCACACCAACGAATTAAGTTACTAGAATCTGTATGTTTGATTTAAGCTGACTTTTAAAACTTTTCGGCGATACGCCACTATCTTAAAGATTTTAAGCGTTATATGAAGCAAGAGGTTCTGATCAACAAACAAAAATAGAAAAGTAAATGAAAACATTTTTTGGAACCAGGATATGTTGCTGTCGTTAAGCTAAGATCTTGTTGAACAAGTATAACTCTCAAACCGAGGTAAATTGTTCTTTTGATAACAACAAGGTATAGTTATAACACTTCACATTGAGGCATAGATAATCCCTGATTATACCTTTATCTAAGAAAGTTAATTTATCCGCAGAGAACCCGCATAACCCTGTTAAGCATTCTCACCCAAGTAAAACAAGGGAAACATCACACTAAAATTAAAAATACCAAATCAGCGGACACAACTTATTGTTTATACTTCGTTTTTTTTTACTTTTGCCTCAATAATATTCATATCAAAATTGTAAAAATCGAACTCGGTATTGTGACTTTACTTCTTAAAAAAAATTGTGACATGCTTACATAACTTTCTGCTTTTCTGTTTTCGTCTGTATGAGTTGAGAAGAATACAGAGCCTTCATAACAATCACAAGGATAATGAGATTCACCTGCAAAAAAAATAACGTTTTCCGCCAGTCATTATTTCTTAGGTCATAAACTTTAAGTTGTTGCATAATATTTCATTGAAGACATTTCAAATAGGTTATAACAAATTTGAACAAATATTATTTTGAAAACATAGCGACAAAAAATAGTGTGATAAGGTAATAGGCTTGTGTCACTATTTCTCAGTAGACTTTCTTCAAATTTTATAGTTATATTGCTTTGAAGTAAAGAAAATGTTCTGGCACAAAACAAAATATAGGTTGTCAGAATTTTAAGAATTATAAATGGAAATTGATGTAAAAAGGAGTGAATTTAGAGGGGGAAAAATGAAAGACACAATGTTTTGCAAAATAATGTCAATAAAAATGATACTGCCATATATTAGTATTGCATTAATGTATAATGCATATCAATTTAATGAATGCTGAAATTGTGTAAAATAAATTATCTATAAGCGATTAAAAATAAAAAAAATTATAATATAGTAATTGCATGTAAGAGTTATCTTTCTTGAAAAACTTCACAGTAGTGAAATAGGTAGCCGGTTTCCTGAAGTACAGAAAAACGGACACAGGTGACTCGTTGATAAAAAAAACTGAATTAATGTCTTGATTGCTTTGAAATACTTTAATATTGAGAGAACACACTGTTCTGTCAATAATAAACATACAATATTCATCGGCAATTCTAGACTCATTAGAATATGCGGAAATAGTGATACTGTCTCCCTACATTGGATTTTCAACTTGGGATGTACTTCCTATTTCCGTTTATCAATACACTCATTCGACCTTAATTTTGAGGACACAGAAAGAACTTAATGAAGTATGCTCTTAGAGCTGATGATCTAGGGCGAAGCGCTCATTCTTCTGACGTAGTAGCAGTGTATGCTACGCACAAATACATTGACAAATAATTATCTAAACAAATCTCTTTATTTTGCCTTTAGATGAATGTTATCTATGCAAAGATGATAGAGGCTTTTTATGTGTTCGTAAACAGAAGTAGCTAAACTTAACGAGTTTCTAGTTTCTAAAGAGCCCATTGAATTTCTTGAAATCTCTCAAAGAAAAACTATCTAGGGACTGTTCTTTATCAAATTAACTACAATTGGGTTTTTAAAATGTGTTTTTACGAAACCTTTCGCATACGAAGTATACAACTGATGAAGATTCCAAATAGATGCCGATTTTATACAATTCAGATTATTCTATAGAAAGGTTTAAATGTCTCTCACATGAATATGTATAAGAATAATTATCCATTTTTTCAATAATAGTTTACTCATATCAATGCGTACCACAATTATACAGACGACTGGAACAATAAAGGAATATATCACTCCATTAGTAAAGGTGAGCCAGCAACTAGAAATTAAAATAATAGAATAATAAATAACATTCTCAAAACAAAAAGGTTGGCAAAACAATTAAAGAAATTGTTATCAAACACAAAATTAACCAAGGATATTTGACAAGTTGCTAATAATGTTTCAAACCCTTGACTGCTTTGTCTCTCAAATTAGTTACGAGTGATACATCTTTCTCTGAACCTGGTAAGGTGTATCTTCACTCTCCCCGGTGTGAGAATTCCTTGTCTCACCCGTCGAGTCGGTGAGATTCCCGTAATCAAAACAATGGTATTGGTCCACGACAACAATCGGACGTCACACCACCAAAGCATCAAACTTATAGCGTTAACATTGCAATTTAGATATGATAAGGTCACCAGCATAAGAGAAAAATAATACAATATTTCACCCCCTTGAGGTGAAATGGGGAATCTCAGCCCTCAAGAAAAAAATCTTCAGTTTCCAAACAGTTGGCAAGCATCGAGTTTGGCAACTTAAGGATCCCTTCCTTGGGTTGAGATTCCCCTATAAACCCCGAGGGGATGAAGGATTATATTATTCCCCCACAAGTCGCATACTTGTCTCCCATTTTATCTGTTCAGGGGTCTACAGTCACCCCTAGCACGTGAAAGGAACTACTATTATAACGCCATGGGAGAAATGCTTTGTTACGCCAAAATTGGTTCTCAACACAAGAGACCTTGTGCTTATCAGAATAAAACAAAATCTTATTACAAATGCTGATAACACTTATTTTCAAACAACGAATTGAAAGGGAGAAAAATAATTAACACATAGGATGAAGGTATACAAGATATGTCACCATTATAAAGAGTGATATCATTGAATGTCTAACCCTCGGTTTAAAGCAAGGCGTTGATTAGAGAGTAAAATATCGCCGTTCGGATTAAAATTTCTCTACGATACCCTCACGTTAGGGAATATCTTTTAGTGTCAACCCCTATATTGGATTCAAGCGCCTGCGACGTCACAGTTTTGTCACTTTTTGCAGTTTACTTTGAACTTGGACAGTCATGTAAAGGTTCTTTTATGGGCAGAAGAAATATCATTCCAGATCTTGACACTATAACAATATCTCCTTATTAAATCGTACTAGAAATAATTCAGCCTCTTAGACATTTAAATTAATGCGCTTTAATATCCCAATATTCTTTTCAATATTTTCTACTTTGGGACAGTTATTGTTGTTCCTTCTTTTCAATATCTAACGTGTGGAATGCAATTCTGATACGTATACCATGCAACACCACTCGTTTGCTTCGCCAAACGCTTATGTATAGTAAATTTATTTTATCATAAATTAATTACTACAAATCCGAATTGTATTCGTCGTCGTGCGTTATTCCGATGGTCACCGCTACCACAGTTGCTGGCGGTCCTGTCGAAAGTAAAACAGATATATACATATAAATTGACGTACATCAGCATATATTCTTTTATCCAATAGTAAAATAGTATTTAACGACACTGATAGACTGCTCTAGTTACTTTCATTAGACTTGATCTTGTAAGGAGGAAAAGGTATATGTATCTCGAAAGTACTCTAAGTGCAAAAAAGGAATCCCTTGTTCTTATCCAATTGAAATATAGTTTTCATGTTAAGTCAGAAAAGGACTTCAGAAAAATATATATCACCTGATTTGCTTTGTAAATTGACAATGAAGAGTTTAAAATTCCAAAAACTAGATATATAGTTTTACAGATTCTTCATAGATGTAAGGATTCGACATGCTTTTGGTATACATGAGATTATCAGAACTTTCATTACAAAACATCTAAAGAGTTTTGATTACGCCCAATGTACATGTTTGTCAAAACATCTGTGAAATAATGTGTACTTATGAAGTCGTGTTTTTGCCCCATTCATTTCTGGATTTCATCTTTCTAATGACTGCGACAATATTTTGTTTTTATTCTATGCGATAAAATCGTATGCAAAATTGTCGAAAACGGGTCGTTGGACTCTACATGAGGTAGGGATAAATTAGGTAAAGACGTACAGATCGCATTAATTCCAAAATAGGGTATACAGTAGAAAAATGTTCAACACTTTTTTCTGAGAATATCGAAAACTACTCCTTAACATATTGATTATAAGAAATAAGTCATGGTATCGTGTATCTCTTTGTTGAGATTGACGATTGAGCAGTTTTTAATGTGAAAAAATGTAACTAAATGATCGTAGAAAAGTTTTCCTTACTTTGCAAATCATTGCTTTTTGTAATTCGCAGTAATTAAGAACCAAATTTATTATAAATTTGTAACTTATTGTTGAGTTACGACCCTTGAAATAATTTCATCAGTCAAGATAAGAGAATTAATCCTTTCTATTTAAAAAAACACTTTGCGATCCCTGTTCTTTATTTATATATTGTGGTGACTTCAAACGGAGTTATCTCCCTTGGACCGTGGACCGTGGACCGCGCCGACACGACATCTCGTGAGCTACGCGACAACATCGCTGTGACGCATTGGCGCGGTCTCTTATTCATCTTGAAACCGAACAAACAACACGTGAGTGATTTTCCTCCACCTTGTATTTGATTTCAGGAGCTGGGAGCAGTTACAACTACTTGTTGTGACGGTGTGTGAAATACAAACACCGAATTCACGACAATTGGTGTCACAAGTGCGAAACAACTTTTTTTCTACCTTGCTGGTCCCCTCTCGCTCGCACGTGCGCTGGCCATTTTGTTGACCAGTGCGCGAATAACGAGTGAGAGACTTTGGGACAGTTCTAGTAGTTTATTATTGTTTATTTAATTATTTATTAGGGGTAATTCAGAGTCGGCGGTGTTTTCACTGCTGTTCTGAAATTTATATTTAATCTAATTTAGTTTACTTGTTAGTTTTACACGGAACTCCATTCGCCTGTATAGTGGGCCGCCCATATTGGCGGAATACGTATGACAGGCGAGGCTTTGAGTTATCGTTAGTATAGGATATTATTTTTATATTGTAGGGAAATTATTATATGTTTAGTTAGGTTATTATTACATTAGGTTAGAAATTAGTTATTTTAGGAATTAGAAATTATTTTGTAAACTGTAAATCGTAGTTGCAATTGTTGGAATTTTGTACGGGACGGTTGCACGTGTCTTCCATAGCACCGTTGATATCTGTCCTTGTACATAATTTTGTACTTGTTTAATTAAGTGTGTTGGCTTATTTCTTTGTTGGAACTTTTTGATATTTAGAAATGACAGCCATTATAAATGTACGCTCAGCTACAGAAGTTGAGTTGTGCACGTTGGAGGGTTTAGGCCCTACAACAGCAAAAAAAATCATTGAGATGAGGGGTGACGGCGACCTCACCCTACAAAAACTTGTCTCAAGCTCGAGGGTAGGAATTGAAAAGTGGCAGGAATGGCTAAGTGAGGGGGTCATAACGGGGATAAGAGTCAATGCCCCTGTGGAGGCGCATTCACCTACCCGGTCGACCTCATCACGGGCAGATAGGCTAGACAGACAGGAGGACGAGGTTATGGACCTAAAGCAGGAAGTTAAGGAGCTGCGGGTCCAATTAAGGGAGTTAATGGTAACATTGGAGACGGAGGCTCTTAAAAAATCAGAGAGTCTGGCGGCTCGTGCTGCCTCGCCTCCAAAAAAGAGCTCTACTCCCGGCACTATGCTACTGACTACACCTAGTGGTGGTCAGTATGTCAGCCAGGGGCCACAAACAAATAGCTGGTCACCCTGGGGGGATAGAGGAACCATTCAGGCTACCTCAACCTCCGTGCCACCATACTCGAACCCGCAGGCAATGATTCCTAAACAGAAGGAGTCCGAGTTTGGCCCTGTCTTACAAGCTATCCCGAAGAATGGGAGGTATGTAAGGGGTCAAGATCAGGGTTCCCATGTATCAACATTGACAGCTGGAGATGCCAATGCACCCATTGCACCCATTGCTTCTAAGTGGGGGTTTAAGCTGGAATCGGCCCCAAAAGTTAAAGGGGAAATGAGTCTGCCCTTGTCATGCCTATCATCGGACAATGAAAAGGGGGCTGACTTCCTTATGGCGCTTCGCAAGCAGGGAGGGGGGAATTATCCTGGGGGATATGACCTTTCACAGCCAGCTTTCCAACATAGGGGGGTAACTTACCCCCAAGCAATAGGCTGCCATACACCAATGGCGGGATAAGTAAATATCCCCTGTTGGGGTACATAGACACTCAGTTAGGGCAAAATCAGGTTAAGATAGAACATACTATTCCTGCTCATAGTCTGCCTTCGGCTGTTGCCGTTGCTTACGCGAGGGTGCCCTTAACCAGCACAGTAAATCGTGGCGTTACCACACCAGCGGGTGCTACCCGCGAGGAAAATAGAAATAGAAGGGCTCGCGACAGGTCGGACAACGAACGTCCTGCAAGGCGCACACATCGCGTCCCCGGTGAGCGACATGTGCGCCAACCACAAGACACGCGCCGTGCGCCTACAAGGCGCAGACGTGATGATTCGTCGGAGAGCGACGAATCTGACACCGATTTCTCCTGTGAGGGGGAGGGGAACAGCAATACAGATTCAGGGGACTCCTCCGACGACTACCAGAGGCATCGTCAAAGGAGTAGGAGTCCTCAGCGACATAAGATGCCCACTTACTCGGGTAAAGAGCGCTGGGAACCATTCGCTCTTAAATTCACCAGGATAATAAAGGACAGTAGATGGTCGGACCTTAAGACCAATCAACGGTTTTTCGATTTTCTGGTGGGTGATGCGTTGGAGTACGCAGATAAACTCCCACGAACTCATGGGTTCGCAAAACTCAAGAAAAAGATGCAGGAACGGTTTAGCGACAAGGACGTCCCAGTGGTGGCTCGCAGAGAGCTAAACTTCACTAGACAAGAGGAGAGTGAGAGTTTGGCAGAATTTGCTCAGCAGATTCAAACCATTACTGGGGATGGCTTTGCCCACGCAGACACCGCCACAAAGAACCAGATCGCTTCGGAGGCATTCCTCAAAGGCTGTCGCGAGAAGATGGCAGCGCAGAGAGACATGGAGAAGAATCCCAAGACGGTTCACAAAGCTCTTAAATATATAAAGGCCTCCGTGGCCAATCAGCGTGCTTTGTTTGGTTCTCGCGCGCCGCACTACCCTAGTAGGCAGGTAGGATTTGCGGAGGGCACTAAGTCGGGGGATGATAAAGTAGAGGAAGTCCCTGTACAGTTCTCAAAAGATGAGCTACAGGAGCTAAAGAAATACCTGGCCTGGCTTAGTGCGGGCGGTGTATCTGCCCGTCCGTCCTCTCCTCCACCTCGGGGTGACTACCGATCTCCGGAACGCGACCGAGGTTTCCCTCAAAACTATGGGGGAAACCGATCACCGGATTATCGTGATAGGACACTGGTCCCTTATCCCTCATCAGATTATCGCGATAGGGCTCAGTACCCTCGTCCACCCCAGGACAACGGGCGTAATAGGTACGACGGTAGACCCCGCGATTGGTCACCATCCACTGAACAAGGTCATTCGCGAAACCGTAACTGGTCACCCAGATATCATGGGGACTCACCTGGCACAGGGTCACAAGGCCGAGGTCAAAATCAACCAGGCCGGGGCCCATGGGAACCAGGGAGAGGCAACAACAGCCCTTGCTGTTGGGGTTACGACCGAGGGCGGATTACCCAGGCGTACCGTCCAAGATCTCCATCTGCGTCCCCGGAACCATATAGAGGGAACAACGATCCCGCCAGTTAGGGTAACGACAAAGGACGGAATAACCAGGCAGAGAGATCAAGGTCTCCATCACCCACGCCTAGAAAGGAGGTCCAACCTTTGAGGGAGGTGAAGCTGGCGGTATCAGATGGCAGTAGCATCACCATACCACTCACTTTGAATGGAACTCCTATTCAAGCTGTCGTGGATACAGCACCAACTATGACACTGATTAAGCGGGAGCTGGTAGATAAGCTTGATGGACCACTGGTGCTTGGAAAACGAGTGAGGCTCCGGGGTTTTACTGGCAATGTGGAGATAGTGTGGGAAATAAAAGACCTACATATCGGAATAGGGAGCACTGATGTACCCTGGACCGTATGTGAGGCCCCCATCATGGACGACATGTTGCTGGGGGTGAATATCCTGTCTCGGAACAACTGTGTCATCGACCTAGATGCGGGCGTCCTGTTCATTGGTAATCAGGCAATACCTATCACATCAAGGTTAGAGGAACAGAGGACATCTTCTGCTGTCAAGGTAGCACAAAATGTAACAATACCACCAAACACCATAGGACACTGTCCAGTGGACTGGGCTAAACCCAACGGGAGCACATCCATGATCCAACCGACACAACGTCCCGGGGGAGTTATAATAGCCAATGCAAAAGTACCCCCGGGAGCACAACATTCCATTATGAGAATAGTGAATGACTCCGCCAAG